TTTACTTTGAGACCTTATTTAGTATTTGCATAAGTGATAGCGTTGTTATGACCACTGACCAGAATCGCACCTCGAATTAGTGTCAGTATGTGATTGTTGTTAGTAAGACGGTACATCAATCAGAGATATCCACGACACCGTCAAACTATCCTAAAGATTTATACATAATTCATGCTCCGAATAAAGAAGAATGGGTGATGAATTTCGCCAGAACCTTTGAGAAAGATAAGCAAATGACATGCTTGTATCCCGCAAAAGATCACGTCCTTAGCGAACATGTCTTCAATAATATCGTGAATTTGCTACAGGAATCTAAAAATATTCTAACTAATGACCTAATCGACCATTGTCGATACGATATAATGCAAGCGATTTCTGAAGAGAAGGACAGGAAAACTAACATTATAATTCGAGTTTTTTTAGAAGACTGCAAAATTCCGAAATGCATTAGACAATATGATACTTTAAAAGCAAGGAGACAAGGATTTCAAAGACTAATTCTTGCAGCTGTACGTTCAGGTAAACCATTGATTGAGTCCAAATATATTGATTGCTCCAGCACTGCAAAGGAGGTGATGTTGTCGGCACCTTTAGTTCGCATAAGTCAGTCAGTAGTCAGTCATTCAGTCAGTCATTCAGTCAGTCAGTACATATCAGTTTGTTCAAAAGAAAGGAATACATCTTCAGAGCGGAATGCACGTCTAACATTTCAGACTAATACACAACACGTAATTGCACAATTATAGTTTTGTCACAAAATCCAAGAAAGCGGCCAAACCATATCATTGGTCAAAACTATTTTTCTTTGTATACAAAATATCAAGTTCAATTGGTAAAGAGCAACTTAAGAGCAACAAATGTCCTAAATTGTGTCATTTTTTCTGAATATCCAGGATAAATCAGAATGACAGAAGTAGAATTCTGCGGGCCAGGCACATGCTAACCAAGCTTTAGTATTGTAGTTACAAAATATTATTACGCATCAATTTTCAGGTTCTAAGCTGAGAAGCAATACAAAATTTTAAGTCTAAATATCTGCCTAACCAAGAGACCGATCGCAATGCTGTAAGTTAATTGCACCAGTTCCCATTGGCTATACATATTATATTTAAAATATCAAGTTGATCGGTTGAATCACTCATGAAAAACGAATGCCTCAAATTGTGATTAACTGTGCGACTGGGGCAGTGATTCAACAAAAATTTCAAATCAATAGCACAAATCTGCCCAGTATGATACTATTTGTGTTTAGACGAAATCTAAAATGCTGCTTAAACCGCTTCACGCCAGATAACTTGGAAATGAATCAATACACATATAGACACATTCACACATATTTCATTAGATTATAAAGTAGATTGATAACTGAAACTTACTCCCACGTGTGCAAGGATTGTTGTGAAGTTTGAAAAAGTGTTAAACGAAACAAAATATTATAACAAGATAAATTCAAAAAAGCTACGTAAATCTGACTATACACTTTCTCTACTCGAACGACAGTAATATTTAAAAAAAATGGTTGTTTCACATATCCGCATTTCATCATGGATTAATTAAACCGTAATTCGTTGATTCCTGATTCATCGCGTCACTATTTTGGTGCCTCGGGTGAAGTAGCGATACAATGTATAGTCAACTGGCCTTCTAGTTAACTGGCCCTGTTAAACTGATTCTCGCGACTTTTCAACTGTAAACTGACGTAATGACCATGGTACACTGGGTCGAAAATCCGATTAACTAAGTCCTATAACCTGGTTCATATTTATGTCATATTAATTTACTTTATTCCCAAAATATATATATATGTTCTACTTATTGAAAGCAACCTTCCCAACTAAAATAAATTGTAATATTTAAAAAATGAGTTAGTCTCTGAACCGAGTACGTTCATTCTCATACAAGAGAAGAGACCCCTGAGACATGTTGGTGGACTTGCCTTGCATTCTGGGTATTTGTTTACATGCTGTTTGAAAAACATCAGTTTTTTTACCAAAAAAAGTTAAAAATGGAAACTGTAGAACTCAGATCATTATATTCCACACACATACTATCTCTATTTAATTTATTTTATGTTATTATATTTCCACTTAATTCTTTGAAACGTATTTACTATATAGGTTGTACTGTATTTCGCTTGATATCATAGGATTTGTACTTTCACTTTGTACATGGCATACTATAACACCTAGAAGTGCTACATAGTAATTTAAAACTCATATAGTTTGTCAGATTAATTTATATCAGATGTATTTAGCTCATAAAAGACACCAATGTGCATAGTTTCATCAAGTATGGGGTAGACCAGTAACAATAGTAGCGAAACGGGGAGGAAGGAGAGAGAACATGGTGGATTTGACAATAACTTGCACTGTTGTTACAATACATTTGGGTAAATCCTATTTCTGGAAATTGAAAAAAAAATGACATTACATCACAAACATTACATCTTCTGAAAGCCATTACTTTAAATGGCCCACCCCTAACAGCGTGCGTGAGTATCAATAATACCTAACTGGTACCATACACAAATTACTTGATATTTATATCAAAACCAGGTTTGTGCGACAGTATTTCATCTTCATGTTTTACAATTGAAGCATTTATTTTAGAAGCATAACAATACAAAGACCAGCTTTGATGGCGCAATTTATTTATTTATAGTTCTCTGGATCAACGAAAGTGATAAATACACAGAAGCTACCATATCGAATACAGTTCTAGTCATCCAATTGTCATTGTGTGAGGGACTTGTAAAATAGTGAATGACACTTATCGAACGGTGTCACGCCAAATAATTAATATAAGTGTTCATACTCATTTATTTCAGTACTGACATAGGATATTTCAAAAACACCCAGTTGTATTTTATGTTTGAGAAAATTATCCGAACAATTTGACATCTAACGATTACGTCATTAGGTATCTTTTCTCCAAACTTCCCCGGCACTGTGAGCAGGAGCGGTAATAAATTCCCGAGAGACTCTAGTTGTCGCAGTCAAATGAAAACTGCCCAGACTCAAGACGTCCTATGGCACCCGAATCAGCTGCGCGAACCCACTTCTGATGCACTCTTCACTGTAGTGCTATTTTCAAGTTCATATTTACAACAGATACGAGATATTACACTTATGCATTTAATAAAATCACATGGTCGTCTGGTATTTCAGTCATATCTCTTGTCCGCTCCCTTTACTGTAAAACTGGTTGCATGGTCCTATCTGCAACAATGCTTGAGATATGACACTTATGCATATTAATGAGGTCACATGACCATATATGGTCACGTGGTGTTTCAATCATATCACCGGGCCCCCGCATACGAAGTCACTTTATTTTATCGCTAGGACGTATTCTGCTGTTAAATTTATTATTTCCAACCGTTTTGCGGTAGTATTTTCTAGATTGAAGGCAGCATTTACAGGTCATCAAAAGTTGCGTTGGGATTACGTTGATACCCCAGGGGTCACTCTATATGCTGTTACTACCCAAATTTAGCGGGAAGCGGGATGTTTTTCACTTTCTAAAGCGGGTCCGCGCGGGTGGCAAATATACCCCCTTTAAAATGCCAATGTCTGCAATAGGCCCCCAGAAAGACACTCGCTGTAGGCCCCTCTTGCAGCAGCCACTCATATACACCGCCCATAGCCCCGACCAGTCCGCAAACGTCCGCTTAACTTTTCCAGTAATTTTATTGCAGCTCCTAATTACTTATTAGTGAGCACCTGATGTAAAAGTGTAGCAACAAATAAATAAATAAAAATACTGGTAAAGATTCGTCCGACAGTTGTGAATATTGTACGTGTCAGACCCTTGTTTCGCTGTTAATAGATTTTTGATTATCTGTAATTAGCGAAATGAAATATTAAATATTATTATTTTTCTGCAAATATTTTGTAAATATTGTGGGTATAAAACCCATTTTCACTGATTACAGTTTAATTTACATTATGTGTGTTATCCCATTTTGTTTCGGGATTACTATAAACTACATACTGAAAGTCATACCCCAAAGTCAACCACACATCCGAAACTCCTTTCGCGCCTTTTCTGCTTTTTTCTGGGTTTTCTGCCCTGTTTTCATGCCAAAGTTACTCGGAGCTGAACATAAAATTGCGTAATGGTATCTGATGGAATAAGAATCCTGACAAAGTTGTGTGCATTGTGTATTAAACTATCAAACAAAGGATCATATTCATAATCATGTCAATAGTTCTCATCTTTCTTCATCAAACAACGACACCAACAGAAGTTGCATACACAAGAACTTGTTTGAGTTGATCACACGCCACTGCAAAAAACTGCAGGATGTTCTCAATATATGTCTGAAATAGGGGGTGTTTTTTTTCAATATGTCTGGTCTAGGGGGTACAAAATTTACATTCCGTCTGCAATAGGGGTATGGTTTGCCAATGTGCTGCCAGCCCTAGGGACCTATTATTTCTTTATTATATTAAGGTTTTAATATAGAGTGTAACAAAGTCGGCGCCGGTGATCTCTTACCGGTGTGCAACGTAGCCAAAATAAACAGCATGATCATTTGAACACTGATATTACAAGACTGGTAGGTGGTAATAAATTTGAGGCGAAAGTATTCCAATTAGTGACGGTACGACCTGTCAAGTATGAACAGAGTCAGCCAAACCAAAAAAAAATCATAGAAGAGTTAAAAGCCGTTGCTGGTGAAAAGTTACCCCAAGTTTGAGGTCAATTTTCTCGTTAATGAAAATAGACATAAAAAACCAGTAAATTCATGCCCACAGTAGAATATAGAATGAGTAGAACGAGCCATGACCGTGCTTTTTAATCCTAGAAATGAAGAGTGAGATACTAGCGGAGCGGATTGCCAATAAACACAGCAATTTTAAAAGGGTTTCGCGCCCTAATGAGTTAATGTCTATAAATAAATAATTCTAAGAACGTTTGACTCACTGAATAGTCCAGTTCTTCTGCGCATGCGTGCAAAAACAGATTGAATACCACGACATAGTTAGGAAACAGTAATGGCGGACATACAACTGAAACCTTCTGAAATTTATTTTCTTCACGACTCGATAAAAGGTCAGTTTAGAGATGGCAGGCATTTGTTAGATACGTTCAAAGAATTGTTGTATAAAAGAATAAGTCCATCCCAGATCGAGAAGATCGTTGTATATAGCGCAAACAGCAAATGGCGAGTATACGCCGGAAATAGACGACTTTACATTTATAAAAAGTTGGAAGTCCTTGGAGTTGTGGAATATATTACTGCATGGAAAGTATTGACATTGAATCCATACACGTTGAGGAAACGGGATACTACTAAAAACGGAGGAGCATCGGTAAGAATACGTAATGACCCTCTGTTTGAGGGAAAAATTACGTGGATCGTAGAAGAATGGAAGACATGGGCTACAAAAGGTGAGTTGGGGATTGTAAAAAGGTCGTTTTAGTTGAATATATCGTTTGTTGTTAAAACAAGCGCCCGAGTCCATATTCTATGACCTTTTGATATTCGTCAAAATAATACACACGTACATGTCTAGCTAACGATATTTCTTTCACGGGAATTTTTACAATGACGATGACGGTATTGTATCACGTGACGGTATTGTATCACATATATATTTGTTAGTTTGTGCTATACAAACTATGAAACGAATCGTGAATCTTGTTATATTTTTTTCACAAACAATTTGCATATTAAAATTTTGACAGATAAAATAGCCTCAAGAAGATTGTATAATGTATATTATTATACATCTGTCACCGTAACGCCATAAGTTGCAGCGTGTCGTAATTTTGCGGTATTTTACGGGTATTTTCATCCTACCATATTAGGAAATGCGAATTCCAAATATGGAATAATTACGCGCGTAAGCGTCCTCTAATAATAAAAACAAACATGACTGCCACCAGAGTTGACCGGACTCCACACAAAGAAGTTCGCTGATTCTGTTCTAAACATTTTGAATTTTGGCATTCCCATGGTGTACCCTTGGAACGAAAAGATGTATAATAATAAGGTTATTACGAGAATACCTCAAAGTATATACTCAGACAGTACTCCGCGCATCGACCGCCGCTGCGCGTCGGTGGATACTCCAGCTGCTTTCAAATGTATAAGACTAACAATATTTTCAATTTTAATAAAATGGTTTTCAAAGGAATCACAAATTTGTGGTGATGCAATGTTTAGCAAGCTATAACCAATCGTTCAAGGTTTACCAAACATATTCTCAAAACTACAATATAGTTATGCAAAGGTGGTTGAAGTCTACAATAAATCCCTATGAAAGTATGTGTACATGCCAAGTTTTTCCTGATTTTTTATATAGAATGGTTTAGAAAAGAGAACCTAATTTTTTTATGCAAAACATTTGCTGTTGCATTCTCGATGTTGACACAATTTTAGCTGTATTTAGCAGATAAATCAGCCCAAGCAATGTATGTATTGAAACGTTACATTTCCACAAGAAACACAGAATATTTTCCAGATATTCAATTTCTTGATAACTTAAAAAGTTCATGTGATAATAATATATTATATATATATTTACAAGTAATTTCAATCAAGAAATGACAGTGCCATGTGATCTTGTTGCTTTCTCATATATTGTTCTCCTTGACCATATTGAATCGTTTGTCAAAGGATATGTTTCTAGCAATATCATTGCTAAAAATGATTCATACAGCAGGTCCGGCAGGATTTATTAATAGTTATAATATGGACATGATATTAGTTCAAAGTCAGTGATCTACATAGAGTTCCAGGTAGATCAGTAACAGAGCCTGAATTGCAACACTCATTTTGAAGTTTGGATTTTTGCTCAGTTGTGGTAGCTCTCCTCACTACTGCTAATCGTTTCCAAGGGAATGTTGTCAATGTTCAAAACTGTATAACTCTATGTCAGACAAAAAATGTGTGGAAGGATGTGTATGTGCCACTTCACTTTACAAAAAGTTGTTATGTATAATTAGTGGCTAGAAGAACGGTCTCACTCATTCAAAGAATGTGTTTGCTACATTCATGATGTTGACACTGCTTCACCAGTATAGGTAATATTTATATTCCTTTTTTTAAAATTGGTCTTCCTGTTTATATTATAGCTTCTATCCAAGGCCAAACTGCTGCAGATGATATTGGTCAAAACGGTGCATACATCAGTGACTGGCAGCAAGATCGTCAAGATTGTATTGGATTTTCATCTCGTGCTCTCCATACTCCAGGGCATGAGCCCTGTGACTATATTGACGAGCAAGGAAAACAAACAAGTAAAAGCAGATTGTTTTTTTTTTTTAAATACATATGAATATAGAATTGATTGTCATTTATTTATTAAAATAACAGAAATTCTTGTATTTAAATAGCGGTCCAGTTAAATCAAGAACAGAGCCTGAATTGCAACACCCATTTTGATAGTTCGGATTTATGCTCAGTTGTGATAGCTCTTCTTACCACTGCTAATAAAAATTATATGATGATAAATCCCC